ACCTTCCAAGGTTTTCCACCCAGCTATCACCAAGGCCTCCCCCGTTGTGAAGAATTCCATCACAAAGAATCAATGGCTCTTAACACCCAGCAGGGTAAACAAATATGTTTATATTGTCTATTTTTCTCTCTGCTCCTGGTTTTGTAGAACTGGTTTGGAATTCGGGTTTGGGATGGGTTTTTGTTTTGTTTTTTGGAGGTGGGGTTGTATTTATTTGTTGCCTGTCCTTGGGCTTGAACTCAGGGCCTAGGTGCTGTCCTTGAGCTTTTTTGCTCAAGGCTAGTGCTCTACTACTTAAGTCACAGCTCTACTTCCAGTTTTTTGGTGGTTAATAGAAGTTCAGAGTCTTACGGATTTTCCTGCCCTCTGTTAAAATGGAGGAGAAAGGAAGGACACAGGCCAGACTCAATCTTCTATAGGCTAGAACTGTTCATTGAGGAACAAGAGGGGCATGCCTTCCAGCAGCTTGGAAACTGTGTCAGAGGGGTGGGGTTGGAGTTTAGGCTTTTATGGAATCTGAGTAAGGAGACAAGTTGAGTTTAGTGTGAGGGGAGGGGGTGACTGCAGAGGTAAGGCAGAGAATAAGGTATTTCTTATCTAATGTCTCAAACTTTTTAAATTTTCAAACAGCTCTATATTTGTCTTGCCTAGGCAGTTTGCCCTTCACAGGGTCCAGTTCTCAGTCTGCCAACCACTTACCCTTTCCAAGCCTCACAGCTCAACATCAGAGCCTTGCAGTCTAGGCCCACAATGAAATGTTTACAGCCAGGCTCAGGTTGGATTGCCTTGCCTGTGTCAGGCATTCTATGCCTATCTTTGTTGGCTTCCTGACGTCTTTATATACCTGGGAAAATAGGGTGGGAATCAGTCCTTCATATTCCAACTTTAGATACATAAAAAGATTGGACCAAGAGGGGAGAGGTAAGTCTTTCACCCTCAGTCCTCAGATTGTTACCTTGTAAGTAACTAGGATTATAGGCATGAACCACTGGTACCCAGCTCCGTTTTTTGTTCCTAGCAGAATATAATGACGCTCATTTCTGCCTCTATCACATATGAAAGAAAAAAGGTTCTATAACTTTATTTACCGATCTTGTAATTGAGAGTAAATAGCAAGGTCTTGAGAATTAAGTGGTATAACAAAAGACCCTGCATAAGTCTATACTCAGCTGCTTAAAAGCCCACACTTAGCACCATTTGGTCAGTAGCTTAATTTTTGTTGTTGCTTTTGTTAATTATCTTTTTCAAATTGCTATTAAAAAGGTAATGTACAGAGAGGTTACAGTTATATAAGTAAAGAGTACATTTATTTTGGGACAGTGTCACCCCTTCCCTGGGTCTCTCCCCGTCTACCCGCTCCCATCCCTACCCACAAGAGTATCTCACTAACTTTCCTGCCCAGGCTGGCCTCAGATCTCAGGAGTCAACAGCGCCTAGTAAAACTCATTTTCTTTTTACCGCAAGCCATTTTTCTATTACTGTCTTTGAGTCAGAATTTTACTGTGTTATCCAGGCTAGCCTCATCTTCCCCAGTGTTGGGATTATAAGCTTGTAACTCCATGTCCAACTAACAGATTTCTCCTCAACATTCCAATAAGTAGGAGTATATGTTTTAAGTATATAGTAATTAAGAAGGACATAAAGTAGCTAGGAAGAAATGACTTTTTTTTAATCAACTGCCCCACTGTTTAAAACAAAACATGAAGCAACCATGCTTCTCTGACTTGTTCAGGAGAGAGAACTTGCTTAAGACCATTCACCAGATGACAGAATGTAGCCTGTGTTTTTTGACTGCATTTTTTTATAATCAGGAATATGCCACCAAGACAAGAATTGGGATGCGCCGAGGGAAAACCACCCAAGAGCTCAAAGAAGCGGCATTCGAGCCATCAATGGAAAAAGTATATAAAAGTAAGTGGCAGTAATTAGATTTTAAATTGATGTTTGTGGAAATGTTATAAGAGGCCTATAACAGCCTCTTACAAATATATGCAAAACTTAATAATTTGTCCATTTTCTGGAAAGAATGGTCCCATTACTGTTCTCAGGAAGGTGATTACCTAAAAAAAAGTTGCACTAGGTTCCCAAATTTTCAATTACAGATTTGATTTCACCATTTTTAGGGGGAGAAGGAGGAAAGGAGATTAATATGCCATAATCTAAAAGTCATAGCCTATTCATTTAAGTTGTATAGAATCTCTATTCAAGTATGTAATGTTTATGTGTTTCTCAGCTCAGAAATCACTAAAATGTAAATAAATATTATTGTAATCCTAGTCATCTGAGAAACTTCCTCAAACTGCCCATTAGGGCCTTTCATAAGGACTTTACCTTAATGAACTCTTTCTGATTCCATTTAGATTTCAGTTTTGCAAGTTCAGAAACTAGTAATCTTCTGAAATCTTAATTTTTAAATACCATTATTCCTTAGTAGTCTTGGACACGGTCAGCATATTAAAGTGGGGGAGAGCCTTAATCAGTATCCCTCAGCATATTTCTTTCTGATTAGTTCAATCGTACAGAACAAATCATGAGTACACTAACATTCTCAGTGAACAAATATAGATTGAAGGGAGTAAGATGTTTCTTAGTAAAGCATCTACCTTCCTCTATCAAAATAGAGTTGCTAAATTGCCACTCTCTAAAACAAGCACTTCTCCCTTGAGTCCCTTGACAAACTACAGTTTGTCTTTAGTTTTCTTCTCTTTTGGCTGCTCTTAAAGCTTCTTAATAACCACTTTAAACACAGGATGGAATGACTATTGAGCACTCATTTTCTACTTTGTTTCTCATTTTTTTGAGATAGGTCTTACTGGATAGCTCAGACTGATCTCAAACTTATAATCCTCCTGTCTCAGCCTCTGTACTACGGGGATTTCATTTTCTTTTGTTTAGTTTGATTTTATTTTTGCTTTTTGTAGACAAGGTCTCAGTAACATGGCTGGTCTAGCACTCAAGAGTCCTCCTATCTTAGCCTTCCATGTAGGAGGATGCACTACGGTTCCTAGCTGGTCTTTTCCTTTTATTCATAGTACTAAGGTGTGAACTCAAGCACTCTACCAACTTAAGCCACGTGTATAGCTAGCCCCTTTGTTTTTATTACGCTTTCATTTCAGGGGTGCACTTTACTACTGGTCTCCTAACTTGAAGGACATCTATGTGACTGTTTAAAAAACAAAAAATTATATGATTCAGTCCCCTCATGAATGTTGTGAAAGCCTTATCTGCAGCACTTACAACATGTTACATGGCCTGCCTGCATTTCTTCCCATATTCTGCAGTTGACCAGATGGGAAGGTGGTTCGTTGCTGGAGGGGCTGCTGTTGGTCTTGGCACACTGTGTTACTATGGCTTGGGAATGTCTAATGAGATTGGA